GCCTTCGTGTAGCTTTGCGCGAAATTCAAAAAAACAAACAAGTCTGATCGGATTTGTACCAAATTTCATTGGCACATTAAGGTTGAGACTCCTCATCACACTACAAAAAATGATTCGGATCGTTGATTATACTGCATCTGAGAAATATTTTCTGAGTTTTCGAAGGTGCAATCTCGAAAAGGAGCGGCTGGGCGAGGGTATATAATCTCTCTGATTGCTTTTGTTTTAATAGAAATTAGCAAAATTGTGACAGAGTTCAGGAAGTCTATTACAGTCACTAAAATAGAAAACCCGCAATTCCGAATTAACATTTTACAAATCCTTTAATTTGAGAACAAATACTAGAAAATGGAAACTATTTTGTGTTCCATAAATTCAAATAATTGTTTATGTGTACAAGAACTAGTAAGAACTAGTTCAGCCTCCTACCATATTGAGGAATTAAATTTCAGTGATTGATATATCACAGCTACAGTACATTTACAAAAAAAGTGGTATTACTTATAAAACAAAGGAAGTTTTTTAAAATTCAGAAAGTCATTCAAATATTCAAGTTTTTTGAACAACAGATATCGTCTGATTATGGAGTTAGAAGGCATTTCCATGCAGTGGCTAGAGGACTCTAAAAGAAAATATATGGAAGCTCGGAGACTAATAGACGAAGAAAGCTTGAGAGACCCGGTGTCAGAACCTTACAAGTCTAAGTATGCTGCGAAAGAAATACTTTCTAGCTTGAAAAATGACATAGAAGGCTTTTTCAAACACGATGTTTCCAAAATAAATGATACATTTGAAGTTAAAGGGAAATCATCCAGAGCTGCTTTATTATATGCATTGATCCACTTTGATCTTGGTGTGTTAGCAGTTGATACTGAAGAACTGAATGTTGGAGAGGAGTATCTTGAAAAATGTACAAACCTTCTAAGGCAATTTTCACAAAGCCACGAAACAGTATTAATATTTGTTTCCTCATTGAACAGTCTAAGTGTCCTATGGGCTGGAAGAAATGAACAGAATAAAGCTTGTGAGTATTTGAAAGAAGCAGAGCAAGTCTTTTCAAATTATAAAAAAGAGAATAAAGCCTTACCAGCGGACTTTAGTGATCTTTTCCAGCCTGAGCTTAAAGGAAGCAGAGAGGGCGAGTTTAAAATTGAAAAAGCTCATACTCTGACACTAATTAAAAGAAGGAGACCATACTTTGCCCAACATCGAGCAACATCTGCTTTACGATGACTAAGCTCTTCTAATTTCCCATCCATCTCCTCTGGGGTAAAAGGCTTAGCACTTAATTCACATTCATATTTAGATATCACATAGCTAGAACATGCTAAAAGATGTCGGGCAGGTAACAAATTATCTCTTGCAATAAAAAATTGTGCTAAGGTAGCTGAATTCAAAGCCCAATCAATAGGATCATAATCTCCACTTTCCACCTGGCGTTTCAATGTTGAATGACAATACATAGCAGCTCGCTCACTTTCATCTAGATGCTCATAAATTTGTGCTAAGTAGTACTCTTCACAGGACTTTGTTTCAGATAAACATGGTGATCTTGCAACAACCAATACATTAAAGAGCGACTACAAAACCAAAATTAATAAAACTCATTCTCAAGATCAACCATACTTATTGTTTCACAATCAAGAAGTTTTTGAGTATGAAAAAGACATTCCTTATAGTCATGTTTTTAATTTTGAAGAAGCACGGCTTGTTTTTCTTAATGCCCAGAAGTGGCTGAATGAAGCCAAAGGCTATTATACAATAGAAGACCATGCTAGTGACTATGTCCAGGTAATACAAGAAATGAGCAAGCTATTTAAAAGTCTCTCAGTTTTTGAGTTGTCTCCAGAACGTCAGTGCAGGATGCACAAACGACGGATTGATATGTTGGAAGAATGTTTGAAAGCTTTAAATCCTCAATACTATTTGCTGGTTTGTCGGCAGTTAATGTTTGAACTTGGAGAAACATATTCAGAAATGATGGACATAAAGCTGCAGTTGTTTACTTCACACTGTAGCGCTAGCAGTGAATCTCATGCTATAAAGAAGATAAATTATTTGGGAGAAAAAGCTATTGAACATTTTAAAAGTTTCATTAGTACTCTTAATGGTTCTGACCAGAAATTACCTGAATCACTTGCAGATGATGTTGTAAGGCCAGCACTAATTGCTCACTTTTATCTTGGACGACTGTACTCTAAACTTGTTTTCATGGATCAAGATGAACAGCTGGAAGCACTTTCTAATAGCGAAACCAACTATAAATTAATTGTTGATTATGTGAAAAGAAATCCTTCACACAGAGATGTTGTTTCACAAGAAATTCATGCAATAGAAGAGATGTTACAGCTTATTCCAGGAAAAATGCAAAATATCATGAGCACCACCCTTTATCCTTAATTTCCAAACAAATGAACCAGAGAAGTTTCCAGTACATTATTGGTGATGTTTAACTTTATTACAGAAAACTGGTAACAGACTAAATGGTAGTATTTATTTAGTAATTGTGTAATGAATATATCTGAAAGTAGTTTTAGTCATTAGGAGCAGACACCTTGTACAAAAGATAGTAATTTAGACCATATACACCAAAACACCTAAACTGTGCCATTTAATACAGAATTATGATTTGTTCACGTGTGAATTAGAAACTGTTCAGTAGGAAAATTAACCTGTTTTTTATCTTATTTTTGCAGGGATTGTTGTATTTGTTAGAAAGTTTTCATGAATGTAGTTACTTCCACCATTTAAAACTTATTTTACTGGTATTAAATGATTTGAATATTTTCTTTAATCAGGTAAGATTAATATTTAAATATATGAAGACTGTAAAATTTCATCACTCTTATGAATATTAGTTATTCCTAACAATAATCTTAAACATTTTTTTTAAGGGATGACAGATGGTTTTCTAAAATCAGTATTGTGAAGTAAAGTACTTTGGGATGTTTTCAAAGTTTGTCAAATACGTGCTTTTTTTTGTTACTTTAGACTTAAAAATAATGTATGGCAACAGAAGTACGATGTACAAAATGCCGATGGATGATGTGGTTACCTATAATTGTTACTTCTTATCCTATAAGCTATTAATTTCCAGTGCTTTTATCCATACCATATGTTTTGGCTATTTCAATTAACGTAATGCCCAGTTTTTATTCTGTAGAGCTGATAAACATGAGAAAAAGAAAAAGTTCCAACACTAGGTTGCTTATAGCAATATACATAGAAGCTCATAATTATTTTGGTTCTGAAAGATAAACTATATTCACTAAATAATAGCTATTTTATTAAAAAAGTTTATGAAATATTTGTCATTTTTCAAAATTTAATCATATATAAATTTACCAGCAATTCATTCTAGTGTTTTTTTCTTTTAACACAATATTGTTATTGCAGGTTTCATAATGTACAGTCATTTTATGAAAACCTCTGGAACTTTTCTATATGGATCATATCACATCTGCATCAGGTTTTTTGTATTGAGTTTGTATTGTATTAAGTATTTCTTCATATTTGGGACACTTAAAATAGTAATTATTTCGTTATCCTTCCTCAATTGTCTATATTCAGTGTATTGTAAAAAGACTAAATGTAATACGTCCATGTGACCTAAGCAAACCATGTACAAGAAAACAGTAATAAACAAATTTCTCTTAAGTACATTATTGTAAGATTTCATTGCAAAGCTATAATGTTGTTATTCAAGACATTTTAAAGAGGAATTAGGTTTGTTTTTGAAGATTGTTTTTGTACCTAGATCTATCTTTACAGGTGACATCTAAAGTTGTGATTGCAAAGTCTTTTGAATTTGTCTTCCTTTCTAGTATTTGTAACTAGATATTACTATGCATTAGATTTCTTAATGTTGGCCACATTGATGAAGTTTTGGGTTGAAACTTATTTTATGTGAGATGATACTGCATATAGAACAAAGTTTGAAAGTGATTCTTTGTTCAAGCTGCCAAATTTCATGACAACAATTTTTGGGATTATTTCATATTTGCTTTTTCATTATTACTGCTGCATTATTGAAGGGACTTCACCCCATTCTAATCACCATAGCCACTGAAAAACAGCCCTTGGTTCAACATTTACTCGTATGATGTGACAGAATAATGATAAAAATAATAGTGCATAACATTACAAAATAAAAAGAAGAAATGGTAAAATATATGAGGGTTTATATAGATGCCTTGCAAATTTTCAAACTTGGCTATAGAAGGTATACTTAAATAATATATAAAGGTTATAATGGTTATTTATGCTTTACCTTATTAAGTTTGGGGAATTTCATAATTTGTGTCAGACTTGCTTTAGTGAAGTTATATAAAATATGATTTATTTAGTTCATTAATTTTAAAATATTGTTCAGTTGCCTGAAAAACAAACTCAGAACTCTAATTTATTTAATATAGATATCTATGTTATGAATTAAAAAACAATTATGAGAGAATGATGTGAAGAGGAAGGTTTTTATGTGCTGGTAACAGTAACTTGTATTTAAGATCTGCTATATGGTATAAAAAATTTTTAAAAATGTAATGGATAATCATGCAGCATTTGCATTAATGAATAATGTAAATTTATGTTGTGACTTTATCATATTACCTAATTTATAATACATATGCATATTTTCATTCAAATTAATATTTTCTTTCATGTGGTAATCACTGCTGTTAGTCATTTTAGTTTGTTTCCTCAGCTTATATTATGTTGTTGTTTTTTTAGTTTAGTTTTTATATATCTAAGCTTTTCCTGTATATGATTTTATTGAAGATTATAATTTTATGATTAAAAGCAACTTGTCAGATGAATATGATCAATTGGATTTATTTCAATAACATATTTTTTTCTGGTGTTTTCCATTATAATGGTAGAAAGTCTAACTGGCTGCATAAAACATATTACTTACATTAGGTAGAAGTTGTGTAATTTTCTCTGTTACTTGCAAGTGTTGCTACATTTGGCGAGCACAGAAAATGAAAATTGTTTGTAATTCAAAATACAGTAATAAAATTTGTAAATTTGTTTAAGTTCAGTTGTGTAATAGTTTATAGTTTTGTAAACTTCATAAAACAATAAATTTCATTTATGGATTATTTATCAATCTAATCATGTAGTTATACATCTTATCTTACTGGATGAAAGTGATCAAATCTCTTTAAGGTTCGGTATGGCAATGTTGTTTCTCTATCCTTGTTGCAAATACTAAATTTTGGTGAAATATGATTAGTTATATGGAGTCGTGATACATACTTGTTTGTCTTAATACCTTTAGTTAAATAGAATTGTAGTATTTTGTTAGTTTCCAGAGCCCCAGTGTGAATAGTTGTTAAAGAAGCCTGTGTAAGATTAATTTTACTATTTATAATATTGCACACATTTTGATCTCCAAGGTTTGTAACTACCAAGTAATTTGACCCAAATTTGTCATATCAACATCTTGTAGAATCAAGACATTCACATTTGTGGTGATATCTTAATGCTTTTTAAAATTGTAAAATGGCCTTTCAGTATTTATTGTTGTTAGATATGTGGATTAACTGTTTTAGCATAATTGAATGTTTGCAGAGAGGGTGAATGTAAATTAAGTGGAGGTGTCCATATAAGCTTCCTTCATTATAGTAACTGTTGGGACCACTTAAATCACAAAATTACTTTGTATACATCATCTGCACTATATATTAACCCATAATATGAATCACTTAATGTGTTTATTGTATTATGTACATAGACGTTTATAGGATATGTAATCCAGCCAAACAGTTTAGGTATGATAATGACTTGCAAGGATTTTTTTTTTTTATGCATGTTATCAAAATACTTGCTATTAGTGTAAGGAATAGCTAATGGTACAAAATTGTTTGTAGACAATGAATGTTTGAAAGAGGTAGGGTAAAGTCAATAATAAACTGTCGTGTGTATGTTGTACACCTTATATTTATGTCTAAGGTTTAGACTGTATTTAAGATAGTGTTTATGTCAGCTGCATTTATATCTTATCGAATAACCAATCTAGAAAATCATTGTCTTAATTAACACATCAGCATTTGGCACTTATATTGAAAATATATAAAAATACGTTTTACATTTATTATAGGTCATGTTTCTCAGCAATTATATAAAAGAAAATTAAGAAATACATTTTCCCCTAGTTATGAAAACAAGTACTGGCCAAAATAAAAAGCTAATTGCTAATCTGCTTCTGTAAAGTTCTCCTGAAAAAACATAGTACTAACATTTATGTATTATTGCTCCTTAAAAAACAAACTGGTATATCAAATGTACTTTCTTGTTTGTTTGTTTTTTAACAAATCTATGTTTGCATCCGGGACCGAATATTGTACCCGTTGATAGTTGGGCGAGAGAAGTTTAAGGGGGAGGATTTTCTCTCCAAAACAAACTAAGTTTTTCTTAAATCCTGTGATACATAAAGAAGACATACCACAATAATTTGAATTTCGAGACTATATGTTTATTAAATGTATATTACAATGTACTATACAAGTGTAAATAATAAAAATTCATAGCACAAGTGCTGCTTTTTCAGTTTTTTCAAATACAAACTTTTAGCTCATAGCTCCGTTATCTCTTGACCAATATGAGATCGAATTACAGTTTTGGAATCAAGAGGTCAGACCCTTTCGATTGATGTGTTTCAACTCGCCAAAGGTCACATAGATTAATTTACTCTAATTCTGCCTAAAATAATTTCAATATTAGTGTGGGCTGGTAGAGATCCTGATGAGTTTTTAAACCAAAACGGGTATACGTATATAGCTAATAAAAGGGGGGTAGGTCTCGTAGATTAATTTCCTCTAATTCTTACTAAAAGAATTTCATGTGCTGCGACTATTGAGGATTCCCTCTTGTTTTTTAAGGGAAATTCCTAGAAGCAGAGAATTACAATTTGTGAGTGAAATGCGTGCATTTTTGCATATTTGTATTGATAGTAATAGAATTGTTAAGTTTAATTATTAATTTTTCATTTTGAAAATAATCTTTGTTATTAAACTGAGTAACAGATCTTAAAACAGTATAAAATACAAAAAACAATTCCAATAAAAAACTAAACTTTCACTTGGAGGTCCTTCGGCGGTGCCTAAGTCACCAATCCGAGATTTTCGGTCCCGCCTGTATCTCACATATACTGGAACTCTAACTTTTGAATATATTATTTCCTCAAAAAATAGAACAAACCTGTACTCATTTATAACACAACCTTAACAAATAAACTAATCCTTCATCTTGTATGTATTATCCTTTGAATAAATAAATCAGTCGTGTACCTCAAATATTGCTGCTTACATGAACAAACCAGTCCAGAAAATTAGAAATACTAAGTCATCTATTAAATAGACCAATCGTGTATTTTGTATATCCTGGCACTTCAACAACTGAACCACCCTATAGGTCAAATATATAGTCCCCTAAGCAACAATGATAGTCTCATAACTGTTAAATCTTTAATAACTGGTACAGAGCACTACTTCTGTCCCACATATGTTAACTTTGAGAAACGTTGCTAATATTTACATAATCTTCCTCAACAGATAAACAAGGCTCTAATTTACAATATACTGATTATCCATCGTATCTATTCCTGTGTGGTATTCTCAGATTCACTGATATTAGTTAGGGTAACTGGGTATAAACTGCAGACTACCTGGAGAATCGCCTGAAAAAGTATTTATGAGCAGGAACTTGACTTCCCTCACTTTGACTGAGTCTGACACGTATAAAGAGACTGAACAAGAATTTGCGTATATTAAAACAATATTTATTTATAACTAACAACAATCAAAGTAAAAAAGAAGTGTTTGTTTTGGGCCTTTACTGGAATGAAAGAAATATATGAATGTTTAACTGAAAGCTCTCAACAATTCAAGTTAAATTGCTCTAAACTGAAATAGTTAGTGGAATTATAGAATCTTGTTGAAGTTCTTATTAAGTTCTTTCATATTGAGAATTCATGGCATTATATACGGGAAACAATTATGTCAGGAGGTAGGCATCAGCTACGTGACTGAGAGTCACTCTTACTGTAAAACAAGCAATGTTATGTCCCAGTGGCATCACCTGACTTTCCATCAGAAATTATCACTGTTGCTATCTATACAGGATGTGCTATGTTATAGCTTTTTTTTTTCTAATAAAAGAGCATAAGTGATATCCTTGCTGATTGGCTAAGTTCTGTGAGCAATAGGGCGAGAAAAATTTAGTTTTTCCCTTGACTGGCTCTATATTGATATCCACAGAATTTTTTTTTAAATTACATATTAGCTAAGGTACATATAATAAGCTTTTAAACAACAACTATATCTTAATGGTTTCTTGACAAATTTAATGCTCTGTTCTTGTATATACTTGTTGTATAATACTTAGTGTCTCAGTGTTATGTTCTTCTGTTTCTACAATCAACTTCATAAGTGACACACAGACAGGCCGCCCCATAAAATAAACTAATATTATTATGTATCTTACATATAATGATTCAACAATAGCCAAACCAATTCTCCCCACAACAAACTAATACTGAATCTTATATATAATATTCCTTCCATAAACTAACCATTTACAATTTTCACATATACTCCTTCAACAAATTAATCCTGATGATGTTTCAAGACTGCAACTAGTGTTTATGTGTTCCCCAAACAAGGTAGACTATACCATTTATTTATTGTTGCTTTCATTAATACTATTAATTATACTAGCTAGTATACTGAGTATAATAATTTTTTATTTTGATTTGTTGTTTATTATTACACTAATATTATAAACATTGTTTTGCATTTTTAGTTTAGAATTGTTATTCAGGGCTAACCAAAATCTCCTAAGCTGGCCAAACCTCGTGAGTTATTATTGGGATTATGGCCTAAAATATCGTTGACAGCGAGCGTACCCAACTGATGAAATAATGCATTCCGATCCTTAAAAGTAGAAACATAAGAAAAGTATATTTAATTAGTATTACTGATGGCCCTTTTTATTTTTGGTTTCACTCTAATCGGAAATTAACAACTCACCTTGACCTCAATTTCACATATAAGAGTATTCTACATATGCTATTGACTTCATAAACACTTGTTCTCTAACCCATATCCTGGCCCTACAACAACGAAATAATCCTAACTGGTCTCTCTAGAAACAAACTAGAATAGAATTCTACACATACTGTCCCTCAATAGCCAAACTTGTCCTATATCTCCACTATAATTGTTTTCCAAAAACATTTATCTGGTATAAAGGGTTGTTCACAGTCTATGGTAAAATACAAGGATGAGTGATCAGCCCTTGCAGCCATTTCTTCCATCATCAATATTCTATGTGATGATTTGATTATAGATTATTGATCTGAAACACAAGTTTGCACGGCAAGAGGATTTTTCAAAATACACTGATATCAATGTTCTCATCGTCCTTCCTTTACTGGCTTTCTAAAGTCCATCATTCATATATATAAGTTAACTTGTGAGGGAATACTTGAATAACTCAAAAGCAAAGAAATCCCTGAAAGGTTTTCTCAATTTCACGGTATTTTGTATCGTCTACAGATAGGAAGTACCATGGGAAATCATATTTCATATAATTTTCATAATTACTTTTGAAAGTCTTTGTAAACCTGTTTTGTAAAATAAAAAAGATCTAAGGCTCACTGATATCCTTTTGAGTGATCCAGTAGGATCACACACACAACACGAGGTACAAGCAGAAAATGTTGTATAGAGATAAAAGTGAATTATTTTCACTTAGTTTGGAGTAAAGAAAAAAGATTAAACAATGCAAAACAGTGTTTATTCAACACTTAAACACAGAATTACGAGTGTGTAAGTGAAGAACAATGCCTTTACTGGATTTTGAGAGATCTTTGAAAAATCTCTTCCAAGCTGAGAAAATGCAGCATTATATACATAGCTCTATAAGGCAATTATTGTCAGGACGTGTGCACTGCCTACGTCGTTAATGATCATTCAAATCGAGAAATAAAGGCAGATCTATCTTCAAGATATCTTTTGACTCGTCAGTAGAAAAAAACACTTGTCTACCTTCTTATAGTGTGTTTATCATTATTGTCGTTATTTCCCATGAGAAAACGCACATGATGCCATAGGGGAATTGCCAATATAATATAAAAAGCCTTTAAATAAGACATTAAAATAAAACCCCTGAAAGAAATTATTGTTGAAATGTATATTTTTAATGTTAGCTAACGAACACATGAAGCATTGAGCTGTATATATAACATATATATATATATATATATGCAAAACACAGTTGGACATTTTACAGTTCAACAGTACATTAAGATAAACAGAGAATCTGTCAGTTTTAAGAAATAGCCTGTGTACCGTTTGTATAATGTAAGTCAATCGACAACGTTTTTAGCACAAATTTTGTTTGTTTGTTTTTAATTTCGCGCAAAGCTACACGAGGGCTATCTGAGCTAGCCGTTCCTAATTTAGCAGTGTAAGCTAGAGGGAAGGCAGCTAGTCATCACCACCCACCGCCAACTCTTGGGCTACTCTTTTTACCAACGAATAGTGTGATTGATCGTAACATTATAACGCCCCTACGGCTGAAAGGGCTAGAATGTTTGGTGTGATGGGGATTCGAAGATTGCGAGTCGAGCGCCCTAACCACCTGGCCATACTGGGCCTACCACAAGTCCTCAAACTGACTGGTGTGCCATTCGGGAGCATGAAGTTTTGATATCTAGCGAGTTTACAATACATAATTCGGGTTTACTTTCATTTGAAACTAAGAATTCTAATTTTGTAAAACATTACCTCTAACTTATTATTTTTATTATAATAGTATAAAAAAGTATCGACCATTATCCAAAAAAGTTTATATTGTCAAAAATGTTATGTGGGTACTTTTAAGCAGTAATCTTGCAGTAAAAGTTATACAGGAAATAAACTGCATGATTTACAATTTACTTACAAACAAGAAAGTCAAATGAAACAATATACAATTTCCAAATTGAGAAACTTGAAATAGGTTGGTAAAAATGGTCTAAAATAACGGTAATCGTGAAAAAGAAAACAAAGCAATCAATTATAAAAAAATTGATAATTACTATCAAATTGAACAGTAAAAAATAGCAAGTAAGTTTAATGTTTGCAGATTTATATCGAACCTTAGCCTTGCGTAATACATACTTTTGACAGTACCTGTAAGAGAAGCTTTACTCGTTTAAAACTTGTGGATAATTATATGTGTTTAACTATATCACAAGATTGCCTGAATGGTTTAGCTGAAATATCAATTGAACGTGATATTTGCCACAAGTTGAACTGCTTTACAATAAGTGAGAGTTGTATGTCCATAAAGGCACGGAAGGTCCACTTCTAAAATCATTTAATATTTACTTTTACCAAGACATAAATGCCATTTAAGTTAAGGTAAAAGTAAATATTAAAATTAGTATCATTTATCATTTTGCAAGTCAAGTAAAGTGAACTCGAGTACAGTTCAGTCAGAAAATTAGCGAAAGAAAACGTGAAGCTAGCTGGAGTGTAAGTGATTAGCTGTAACAGGTGATATTTTAAAGTGAGTTTCACAGTTTAAAAGAGATAAGGAGGATAACTTGTCTTGTCAA